GGAACCAGCCCAGTTGAGCCTCCAGCAGACCTCGTGCAGCCTGGCTGACTGCAAAGTCATGAGACCAGCTAAGCTGTTCCCAGATTCCTGACCCTCCAAAACTGTGAGATAATACATGCTTGTTGCTTTAAGCTGCTGAATTTTGGGGTAACTTATTACACAGCTATAGATAACTAATACACATCTCTTCTTTAGGAAGAACATCCCCAATTCCATCAGCCATCACCTAGTTTCAAATTCCCTCCCCCTCTTGGTTTCTCTCCTCTATGCTCTGGTTACTCAGTCTCTCTCTCTTAAGGGACTGTATATGCACCAATCACAGCCCCTATGGGACCTTACCATATTTGCTTATTTACAGATCCACAGTGTCTTTCTAAACTTTAGAGTCCTCAAGGGCAGGGTCTGAGTCTTATTCACCTCAGTGCCCAGGGCCTAAGAACCAAACCCACACCAGGACACAACATCCTAGATGCAGTGTGACCAGCACAAAGAAGGACAGAGCTCTGGCCTCCCTTCTTCTGGAGACTATATTTCTATCAATTCAGCCCACAATCACATTAGCTTTGTGGAAGATCAAATCTTACTGCTCATACAATTTGAATATACCACCCTTAAATTTTTTTTTTACCTTTTCAAAGCTAACTGAAGGGCTTTACATGCGGAGTCACTCTCTTCAAACCAACTTACCTCAATTCCTTCTTCTCCATCCCCACTACTGCTGCTTTCATTTGGGGCAGGATCATCTCTCATCTGGATTATTAGCAAGAGTTTTCTGAGTAATCTTCCTTCAATCCACCCCCCACACTATCCCATGAGGCCCCTCTCTAACTCACTGTTAGAGACACTACCTCCCTGCCTGCCCGATCCCTACTGGCACTTCTACCACTTCCTTATATTCCAATCATACTAAACTGCTTGCAGTATCCCAAGCCCTCCTGTTTTATGCTCTATACCCTAGTTCACAAAGTTCCTTCTGTTTGTAATGTGCTTCTTTTGTACCTACTCTGCACATCCTTCTATCCCAAGCCAGGGAAATTTCTACTCAACTTTCAAGATTCAGCGTAAGTCTGTTCTCACCCCACCTTCCCCTAAAAAGAGTCCAGTACTCTCTTTCGAGGCTATACATGCATCTATCATAGTTCTAACATGGTAATGCATCTAGGTACTTCTGTATCTAACATGTACTACTAAACTACAGGCCCTCGAACGCTAGGATTGGGTCTTACTCACCTTTGTCCCCCCTGCCTAAATACAGCACCTACACACAATAGTTGCTATTAAATAAATGAATGAATTTCTCTTATACTTCACTTTGGCACATTCCTCCCATTGTTCTATAAGATACAGTGCGTCAAAATGTTTTTACCTTCTGATTCTGTCATCCAACATATTTAACCATTGCTCTCTCTGTCTTCTTTAACCATGTGACTTAAGCTAAATTAATTATAACTTATACATAGTGTTCTTAAAAAGCTACCTATTTGCAACTAGAAGCTGTAGCACTTCTTACAACAGGGACTACAGAGTCTAGACTTCCATGCATACCATGTGCTACAGACTCAGTGTCTGTGTTCTTAGGAAATGCACGTTGAGACCTAATCCCCAACACATAATAGTATTTGGAGGTGGGTCCTTTGGAAGGTGAGTAGGTCATGAGAGCAGAGCCCTTATGAATGGGATTAATGCCCTTATAAAAGAGACCCCAGAGAGCGCCTTTCCCCTTCTGGTGGCATGTAAGGACACAGAAAAAAGATGGTTGTCTATGAACCAGAAAGTGAGCCCTCACCAAATATCAAAAATGCCAGTGCCTTGATTTTGGACTTCCCACCCTCTGGAGCTGTGAAAATTAAATGTTTGCTGTTTAAGCCATCCAGTCTATAATATTTTTGTTAGAACAGCCCAAACCATGACCCCAAATAATACCCCACAATACCAGCAATTAGAATTCAGCAAAGTGATAGGAGCAGACCTAAGCTCTCTCCAGTGAAAACAGATCTCCCACTCTTAGTCACTGTTTAAGGAAATTAGATATGAGTGGAGCAGCTTAGGTGGTGAAACTCATTTTAGATTCCAGCATAATTCCTCTAAAAGTTCGCTTACAATATAATCTTCACAAAAATGTGTACATTTTAAGTATGATGCAGTGAAAAGAGCTCCGAACTAAAACCAGGCGTCCTATCTTACACTTGTGCTGTCCAATATGGTAGCCTCTAACTACACATGGCTGTTGAACACTTGAAATGTGACTAGACTGAATTGAGATATACTCTAAGTAAAACATGTACACCAGAAAAAAGTCTACATATAAATGAAAGAATATAAAATATCTCATTAATAAAGTTTTATATTGGTGACATATAAAATGAAATAATAATAGTTTGGCTACATTATAATAGTTTAAAAGTTGTTAAAATTAATTTTACCATGTCATACCATGACTTGGGTGAAACTTAAAAACATCATGTGAAGTAAAAGAAGCCATCCACAAAAGGCTACATATTGTATGATTCCATTTATGTGAAATGCCCAGAATAGGCAAATCCACAGATACAGATTAGCAGTCATCAGGGGGTGGGAGGGGAAAATGGGAGTTAACTGCTATTGGGTACACAGTTTCTTTTGTGATAATGAAAATGGTCTAAAATTAGATGATGGTGGTAGCTGCACATCTCTGTGAGTATACTAAAAACCACTGAAACATACATTTTTAAAGGGTAAATTTTATGGTATACGACTTATATCTCAATAAAGCTGTTATTTTAAAAATTAATTTCACCTTTTTTTTTTTTACTTTTTTGAATGGCACTGCTAGACACTTTTAAGTTACATATGTGGCTCACATGACATTCCCACTGGACAGTGCAGGCCTATGCCATCTGCCTCACTTACTGTCTTTAGGCGAGTCAATTCCCACTGGACCTATTTCTAACACAGTTTCCACTATGACGACTTTTAGAATTGTAAAATGTCATTAATGTCATTATAAGATATATTACTTTTATTGTTTTATTTCACAAAAAATTATAACATGCATGAGAGCTAACAGAGGCTTTTCACTCACAATATCCATCCCTCCAACCTAATTTTTCCCAGGAGAACCTGAGTTTTTCAACTTAAATTCTAACTACCCCATGGGTTTTCAGGGGCCCAGCCAGTCTTTTAGTCCAGGGAGGGATAACTGATACCTGGAGACACTTTCACAGTACACAGGCAAGCTCAATATTAGGGGCTGTCCTTACCTCAATGGCCTGGGGGACCACACATCTTCGAGGCCCATGAGGAATTCCTAATTGGCCAAAGGAATTGGATCCACATGATAGAACTTGACCATTTTCTGCAAAATAGAAATACTTGAATTGCAAATCTAAGAAGTAAGACAACTGTGACAAATGGGTAAATGCTGAAGGATGAGAAGAGCAAAAGGAATGAGAGGAGTGAGTGGGGCCCTGGGTTCCAGCACATTCAGTCCATACGCCCTGCTCTATCCCCCTAGGAACAAAAACAGTGGGCACTGGGCTAAGCGTTTTACACAGGCTATCCACTACACCACCTAATTAATGACAAGTTAGCTGTGGAGAATGCTTAGCCATGTGCCTAGTGTTGGGATGGAGGATACTTATCTCCCACTTTTCATATTTCCATGAGATGGAATTTCCATAATTTTAATATACTCCAGGCCTTTCTCCCTGCCCTTCCCCATTCTCACTGCTTTCTAGGGGAGGATGGGTAACCTAGCCAGTTGGTGAGTTTGGGAGAAGGAACAGGACAGTATAGCTTTGGCACCTTCCTCTCAGGCACTCTGGGCTGACACATAGTAAGGGCTTCCCCTACGGCAGAGGCCTAGAGTTTGGGGAGTGGGTTTGGATCAGAGGAGTATTAGCAGAACCTCTTGGCCTGACAATTAACCTTGCCCTCCAATTTAGCCTTTATCAGCAAAAAGCTGATAATTTGATCTCTACTTGTCTGACTGCTCTGTGATTGTCTCACAATTGATCCCAAATGTGAGCAAGAAACAGAGTGTTACCTACTGACTCCCTACAACTCTGACACAGGCCCACACTAAGTACTTCATAAATGAGAGCTATTGTTTAGATTCTAATAATTACAGTCCAGATTTTCCAGCCCTATCTCCTTTACTGTTAAAACCCTCCTTGCAAAATGCACCCTGCAACTTTCCTTGACAACCAGAGAGAACACTTGTGTGTGTTTTTAAATACAACGAGGATTTCATTTAATCAGGGCCCAACATCATGCACTTCTCACCCAAAGCCTTTGTGGTGATAAAGATTTACCTAGGAGTACACTCACCTGTAAGTATAATGGTAAAATCCCAGCCACAGGCCACCTGTTGGATGGGACATCCAAGGAGGGATTTGCAGGGGGTAAAGTACAGGACATCCTCGGTGTGACCAAGCCCCAGTTGCCCATCTTTGTTCAGGCCACAGACAAAAAGGCTTCCTTCATCTGCAAAATATAAAGGTTTTAGTGGTAGTGTGAACAGGGGAAATTACAACTGCTAAGATGAGCAAAAGGATTTCATTAATTATTTGGAGTCATGGACCCAACTAACTTTTTTCCCACCCAAGTTAATAAGCCATGCATGTTAATGTGTTCTGGACCAAATGGCACAAGTCCAAGGGGCTCCAATCTAACATCTAAATGGAAACTCCAAGTCCTACAGCAGTGGCCAATCAATTACCAAATTGAGCATCTGCCGTAACAATAAAAGCCAACGTTTATTCAGGATGCAGAATGTGCCAAGTACTCTTCTGAGGGCCTCAGGCGTGGGGCTGACTTATCCTTCAGGCACAGTGCCTGGGGCCCACCATACTTGTAGAAGCCCACAAAAAGGTTTTAATCTAATTTTTTAATAAAAAAATATATGTAATAGGAATATATAATACTAAATCTAGCCTGGATTATATTAATCTTTATGTCAGTGCAGCTGTAAACATAATTTTAAATATTTCTTTATGGAAGGAGGTGTCCACAAAGGCAAAAGTGTCAAGGACTCATGAAAGTCATAATACAGCCCTGTTAACTCATTGTTTCTCATCATTATTATCACCATGTAACAGAGAGGCAACTGTGGCACAGAGAAATTAAGTAATCTGCCCAAGGCCACACAGTTAACAATTAAGAGAACCAGGATTTAAACCCACACGGTTTGATTCCAGAGTTCATGTTCTTAACCAGGATGCAATATGCCCTCCTTTGCAATATTATAGCGCTTGTAGTACTTATTAAGTACTATCCTAGGTACGCTGAGGGAAGATTATGGAAAATATAAAATTCTTGCTCTCAAGGAATATTCGACTTAACTGCCAAGACTTCTAACTCATATATGAAAGTTAAATATCAATCTATGGTATAAAATGTAATATATGTTGCAACTCGGCCACTACTTGTCTTGTAACCTTAAGCAATTTTCCTCTCTGAGGCTCATTTGGAGAGCGGGCGAGGGGAAAAGAGGGGTGGCCTTGATCTCTGAAATCCTTTCAGCTCTGACAATCTGCCATTCTCTGATGGTAGCGTGATTCCTTCACAAAAAAGTTGTCCTCTGCAAAATACAAAAGGTTGAAAGATAGTAATATAACACCCTAGGGGAGAATGTCTAAATAAGAAAATGAGAGAAAATATATTCTTGAAGGAAGTTACCTGTGACAACAGCAGAGTGACCCCCTCCTCCCGTGATCCTCTTGACACATCCAGGATTACAGAAGTCGCTCAGCTGCTGGGGCAAAAGCACATCTTCCTTGTGGCCAAGGCCAAGTTGCCCATAGCTATTTGCACCCTAGGGATAAAATAAGCCAAGGACGAAAAACTATGGGAACCCCAACTGTCAATTTGAATTTACCTGTCCCTATCTTTCTCACCCTCACGTTCCTCTCAGAGCTTATAACAGATGAGATTTCATAGACTCATTCTTAAGAAGTTGTTATACGCAACCCACACTTGGACGGTGGCCCCATCCCCAGAACACCACGATTTCCATGTGAGAGGAGCTCTCAGCATCCACAACTCATCCAGTGATACTCTTCGCCTTCCCCTTCCAATGCCCCAGCCTACATGTGTTGCCCTTAGGGGACAGCATAGGAGTTCCTTCTGATAAACGGTAATTATCTAGGGAAGCCACGGAAAGAAATAATCAAGAAAAATAGGAACGAAGTGGGTGGGAAATACGCTAGGACTAGTTCTTGTCCCATCTCCCCACACCCTCACTGGGAAAACTGGCAATGACTTTCTGGAATCAAAGTTAGCTGAGGATTTTGTGCCCTCAAGCAAGGCACACCATTGTTATTTCATTTGAAACAGGTGAAAGAGGTTGGCAACAACCTCTAAGGGCCTTTCCAAGTACAATGTTTTGTTACTGTAAGATTCACGTGGTGAGATTCCTCTAAGGAAACAGATTTCCCCTTGATGGGCAATATGTCTGTTGTCGTTATTATATGATAAAGGTCCAGAATCCCTAATCTGGAACCCTTGCAGCCAGATGTACTTCAGACTCAGAATTTTATAGACTTTAGAAAAGTAATACAGTATATAAATCATATACACTGCTGCAAGGTCTGGGAGCAGCACCCCATAAGTAAAACAGTATTATTTCTGCAGTAAACAGTACAAATAGTTAGTGGGCAAAGACTATAAACAGCCTCATGTCAGGTCAGTTCTGGGTTTACAGAGCTTTTTGTATTCAAAATTGAAGATAAGGGATTATGGACCTGCAGGGAAAATCTTATTAAGATTCTGGAAATCCTTATAATTTCTCCAACCACCGACTGCTGGTTGGTTCTTGAGTAGTAAAATTTTTAAAATGTGTTTGTTTTTGAAGACACCTGAATGAAAAAAAGTGATTTAAAATAACTACCAAAAAATGCATACATATATACAAACTCCTGCCCCTTGTGGTCTATTCCACAGCCATCTGGGCTGCAAGGACTCCATGCTGGACGAGGGAGCCATGCAGGGACACAGGTCCCAGAGGCCCTCAGGGCAATATTAGCAACCAACTACTGAGTGCTTCTCTGTGTGCTGGGCATTCCCCTTTAATTCCACAGGGTGCGGGGCATTATCATTCATTTCATAGATGAAGAAACTAAGGCTCAGAGAGTTAAGCAACTCCATGATGGCAGGAGCTTTGTTGTGCTCACTGCTATTTCCCCCACATCTGAAATGGTGCTGGCCCAAAGAAGGTGTGCATATATTTTACAGTGAATTAATGTAAGACCCTATGAGTCCCTCAGGAAAGAGCAAATGAAAGACTTGCACGGTGTGAAGTGGAAAGCATGTGCAGAGGATTTCTCTGTTAGCCATGAGATCTCCATGGCTGCCCCATTACCAGGGCTACAGGTTGCTGAGCCAGCATTATGAGATTCAAACAATGGCACCAAATTTTTGTAATGCAGCAAGAGGCCCTAAATCCATGATAAAGCAAAACAAAAGGAAATTTTAATACAATCTATTACAGCTGTATTTGCCTTCCTTACAAACACTCCAGACATAAGACACACACACACACACACACACACACATATCCAAAAAGGTAAATCCCCTTGTTATGAACTGAATTGTGTTCTGCTGAAATTCATTTGTTGAAACCCTAACGTCCAGTACCTCAGACTGTGACTGTTTTACGAGATATGGCCTTTAAAAAGGTAGTTAAGCTTCCATGAGGTCATAAGGATGGGACCCTAATCCAATATGACTGGTATCCTTATAAGAAGAAACACATGAATGCTCCCACCCACAGAAAAAGCCACATGAGGACACAGCAAGAAGGAGGCCATCTATAAGCCAAAGAGGCCCCAGATGAAACTAAACCTGCTGACACCTTGATCTTGGACTTCTACCCTCCAGAACTGCGAGAAAATAAATTTCCATTGTTTGAGCCTCCCAGTCTGTGGTATTTTGTTATGGCAGCCCAACGAACTAATACACCCCTCCACACAGATAATGCCTCAGGAAAAAAATACCAGCAAGCCTCCAAGCACAGCAACGAAGTTAGGTTCAACAGTATTTTTGCTTCAGTACTGACAAGGCCATATATGAAAGGCTTTTTCTGTCAGATGTTTCCTGTCTACACAGACCCCAGTCCCTGGCCTGGGATAAGCACCCACCCAGGCACACATTCAATCCCTAATTCCACCCCCAGCTCCAGTGCCACCCCAAAGACACAGCCAGACCACCTCGGGCCACACCACGCTCTCCCTTCTGCCGGTCTGCAGCAGTCTTGCACTCAATAAATGCTGCCTGGTACTGATAATCGCCATTTTGTAAATTAGTCTATACATACTGGTTGTAACAGCAGTAAAGGTCTTATTCTCTTCCCCCCACCGCCCCCAACACGAGAGCTGGAAGTCTTTCACTCTTTTGTTGTTCCCAAAAGACCAGCACCTAGCTCAGCACACAACAGGTACTCATTCATCCATTAGTCAACAAATATGTACTGAGCACCTTACAACGTGCCAGGCACAAGCCAGGCACCATACAAGACATGCACGGCACCCACCCTCATGACGCCTACATTCTGGCCAAGGAGACCGACATTAACAAGTTATACGTTTCATTACAAGCATGTGCTATGAAGAACTACAAGACACTATGTTTGTTCCCGTGCATCTGGTCGGCTGCCTGCCACACACTCCTGTGCACAGACCCTCCTCTCTTCCAGCCACGACACATAAAGATGACCCTGTCTCTCAATGCTCCCGTCAAACCGACACCAGCGCAGACTCCCACACCCTCCGTGCAGGCAAGACCCGGTCACAGCCGAGTATCAGTAACTATGCAGGGTCTCCGCCTTGTGCACGGCCCAACACCGCCGGCCCCACACCAAAGGCTGCTCCGGCCAGGCTGGGGTGGGGCTGGGGAAAGGCCTTCATCCTCCTGGCAATGGGAGGGTGAAGGGCACAGGTGGCCCCACGGGGCTCTGGGACGGGGAGATCCTCTCTCCACAGAGCCCTCCGCTCCGCCTCTCCCGGCGCTATCCGGGCCTGAAGTCTGTCGCGGACCCAGACGCTCTGTCCTGGAGGCAGGTTCTTCCCACTGCGCCGCCGCCCCTCCGGTCTGGACCCCACCACCCAGAAGCCTTAAGTCACCCCATGAAAACCCTTCCCTCCCCGCCCTCTCCTCCTCAGCCCCCAGCCCAGGATCCTCCAACCCGGAGCGCCTCTCGGACCTCGGCTGCCTGGCCCCAGGACCGCCCACGCCGAGGCCGGGCGCTCCCAGCGTCTGTGCGCCCCTCAGTCCCAGCGGCCAAGGCCCGGAGGCGGAGTCACGTACCCAGGCGAAGAGCGCGGCCGCAGCAGGGGCGGCTGCCGTGGCGCTCGGCTCGCGCTCCATGCTGGAACGCTCCGACGGCACTTCCGGTGGCGGGGGGGGGGGGGGGGCGGGCGCGGGGGGGGGCTCCCGGGGGGAGGGGCGGGCACGGGGGAGGGATTGGTGTCTGAGGTATGGGGCAAGCGCGGGGGCGGAGCGGGGGCGGGGCCCGCCTGGGGAGAGGCTTGCCAAGGGACGGGCCGGCCTGGGGTGGGATTGGTGACTTGGGTGTGGGGCCGGCACTGGGAAGGGTCTGTGGTTGGAAGGGGGCCGCGCAGTGGGCGGGGCCGCGGACCGCTCCCTCTTGCTGCCGCTAACCTGGCGCCGGCGGGAGAGAATAAGTACCTCGCGGAGCCGCCTCCCAGTCACGCAGTCCCGGCGCGCTCTGAGCGTCTCCGCCCGCGGCCTCCGGTCTCGCTGGGACGCTCTGCCTCTCTTTCCCTCCTCCCCTCGAACTCCTTGTGTTGAGTGAAAATTCTATACGAGTGCACTACGCTCAAAAGTTCACAAAGCTCCCTCAGGTTAGAGTCCCACGACAGCCCAGAATGGCTGACAGGACGGGGATTGCATCACCCTTTGATGGGGAAGAACTTGAGCCTGGGAGGGGGTGGAAAGAGTCCTGACCCAGTGTCTTAGGGCGAACTGTCTTTGGGCCCGCTTTGGTGTGCAGTTTGCAAAATCGGAGGGAGCTTCCTGGTGGGCGAGTGTAGTGTCTTGCATCGTTGCCGTCGCCCTCAGCGCCTGGCACGGAGCGAGAACACACACCCGACACAACTAAGGAGGCTGGTTCTCACTGACTCCTTCCCGGGGCGGCCTTCTAACCCTCAGCGCTCCCAGCATGGCCCTGGCCCGGATTCCGATCATCAAGGTAATAACTTGGATAATAACTGGATAATTTTCACCCACCAAAAATTTTCATATAAAATGGCTTTTATCAGACACCCTCATACACTACCGGTAGGAGCTAAATAAGCACAATTTTTCTGAAGGAAAATGTGGCAAAGCATATTAGGAATATGAAAATAGATACTTAGATATTTAGCTAGTAATTCCACTTCTATTCCTCTATCACAAGAAAAAAATGGAACTATGCACAAACCCTTAGACTGCAAGTTATTCATTATGGGGTTACATATAATAGTAAAGAACTTAGAAACTACCTTAAAATCCAAAATCAGATTGATTAAATTATATAGCCATGCAATTGAATACTAGGCTGCCATTAAAAACATGTTCTGGAAGATAATAAATAAGGGAAATATTCATGATATGTCATTAAAGTAAATATTATACCAATTTTACACACACACGCACACGCTGGGTGGTGGATTACAGGTCATTTTTATTTTCTTTTTTGTACTTTTTGTACATAACCCACATTTTCCAAGCCACACATTATCTGTGGGTACAAATGGGGTCACATTAAAGAAGATAATCCATATTCAGTAGTTCTTGACCCTTCTACTGACACAAGCCTCCAGTACTCATCACCGTTTATGCCTGGAGGCCCTGAGAAGTGTCTCCCCGAGCTCTTACAGTCCTTCCCATTCTTCCACTCCACCCACTCCTTGGTGTTTCTGCCTTAAGACCACTTAAGGGCAGCACCTCACCTTTACCTCTCCAGCCTGTGGCATCTTGAGAACAGGGAGGACCATGCTAATAAACATGCAAACTTTAGAAAGGCAAAGCAGCTCTTCATTCTCAAGAGAACTTGATGTGCAAAAACTATACTGTTTGCTGACTGTTTTATGAGTGGCCTTTTTTATTCTGACCATTTTTTTTTACATCTTTATTGGAGTATAATTGCTTTACAATGGTGTGTTAGTTTCTGCTTTATAACAAAGTGAATCAGTTATACATATACATATGTTCCCATATCTCATCCCTCTTGCCTGACCATTCCTTTTAAGCATGTGTGATAGTGTAAAAATGGGACCCTTCCCATCTCCATTTTGGCTAAGACCCTAAGGTATTAAGTGCCAATACCTCCCACATAATAAAGTGAGGTACAAAACCACCAAAGCAGAACCTGAGAATGAGGTGTCTAGAAATCAGTGTATGGCTCCCAGGCTATGAAAGAGGTTGGAGAGGCTGAGAGAGCATTCTGATAGGATGTGTGGCGGTAGTTATCAATGTGCTGTGAGTCTTGCCCATCTCGTGTCTAAGGAAAGGCCTGCGTCAGCAGGGCCACTGAGAGAGCTTGGCATGTATCCCTCCTGATTGGGGCCGGGCAGGCAGCTGTCCAGTTCGTGCTGAGAAATGTCCAATGGCTTGTGGCCAGATAACTGCTCTGAGAGTTCAGCAAAGAGATTGATGCTTTGGAGAGGTGTTTCATGCCCAGAGGTCTTTTATGTCTTTTTTAAGACAAAGAATGTCTGAGTATCTCCCATGTGAGTGTTTCCCAAGCATGAGCAAATTGGCCAGGGGATGGTTTTAGACCCAGCCCAAGGGAATTTCTGGAGAGCTGAAGGGACACCCACAGGAGAGTTGACTACTAGATTCCTAGAGGCTGAGCGAGATGAATTCAACAGCCCAGTCAGAGAGGTGTGTTTACCCACATCAAGAGATCCCAAGAAATAAGAAGCGGGAAGGTGTTTCAAAACACCCACAGAGAATGAGTCAGCATTAAATACTTACCAAGTACAGAAAGCACATATGCCAACTCACAACAGTATCAGACCAAAAAGAACTTGCTACTCCTTACCTCTCCTCCCCACCACCATTCCCAAACCCTGGAGAAGCCAGAGGCATCCTTGTGAGCAAGAAAAAAGGAGCGAGAAAATAAAGACACAAAGCACACCTCTTCCTTTCTCAGTTCTAGAGAAGAAGAAAAACTTTAACCTTAAAATCTAATGTTTTGAACTTTTACAGAACACTGGAATTTGAAAATACTGAAATGGGGGGGCGTGGAGAGGGAGATTAGAAGCTAAGGACTTAGAGTGAGCAGAAAATTCAAGACAGGGACCTGAGATTTCATCCAAAGGGGCAAGAAGGAACTACCCAGAGTCAGTTTTCATAGAGAGAGGGTCTGGAAGGATACAGTTTTTTTCCAATTTCATCCCTTGAATATACATGCATCAATTTATATTAACTGTAACTTTAACTTACAGTTATATTATTATGTTATATCCCATAATACAATTCCTTGGAAGTGTTGAGATGGGTTGAAATGCAGCTACGATTTCACCTATGTACATACCACTGACAAGCTCTTCCCATTAGCAGCTTGGTTGAGTTGCAGTTCTTGAATGGAGCTAGATTTAAATTGGTATCACTTTCAGGTGATTTGTCTCCCCATAAGAGGAAAATATAAAATATTTCAAGTATACAGAGTATCTCTCTATACTATACAGGTTAGGGAATTTTTTCTTTTAGATGATCTTATTTGATCCTCTCAATATTACTGGTATGATAAGTATTGTTGGAATCGTTATTTTATAGATGAGAAAACTAAGGCTCAAAGAAGTTAAATGAGTTACTCCAAGGTCAGATTTCCACTTTAAATGCAGATTAGCTAGCTACAGACCAGTTCTCTCACCAAAAACAATTAGAAAAACTGGGGGGAAATATTTTTAAAATCTGTTTCAAGTCATCGGAGAGCTATCAAAGCAGCCAGAACTTGGAGGGCCAAGATCTAAAAGCTGAGAGATTATATTTGGCACTACTTTTCTGCTTGAAGCATTTGCTAATTAGCAAGCAGTGACTTGGAGGCTAAGAAACTGGGCTGAAAGCAGCAGCTGAAAAGCTGAGAAACTGAACAGTACTTTTAGCAATTTTATGGTGTCGGGAGGTGGGGTGGAATGAGAGTAAAGAAAAGTAGGAGTCCAGGGTCCCCAAGGAGAAGCCCTGGTACACACACGTAGCTTTCCTTTGAGATCCCTAAAGGGCTGCACCGTAAGAGTAGAGGTGAACTGGAAATAAACCAGCCCTCACAAAGACTGAAACGCAGCTTCAAGTTGGCTTAATCCCTGCTAGGACTAAGGTGAGCTTCCCCTGCCATTATATGCTATCTGCTCGACGCAAAAGTTAATTCCCTCTGAAGGAAGATAAAAATCATCCAGAAGCTATGGGGATCTCTGATTAGGAGATTAATGATTCTTTACATATGGCTAATGTTTCTTTTTACAAGTCCTCTCACAACATAATTCTTACAATAACCCAGTAAAGTAGATTTAGCTCATTTTACAGATGAGGAACATGAGACTGAGACTTTATCAAGAATTCCAAAAAGTGGTTTCTAGGTTCCAGGTGTGTCTGGCTCCCTTTACATCACATATTTGTAGGCTTTTTAAAGAAGTATAAGGAACTTACAGATTTCTGAAACTAATGAAATTGCTAATATACATTTAAATCAGTTTTTAACATACATTTGACAAAAAAAATGCTTAGTGAGAACATGAATTTTGTGTCCTTTTATTATCCAGTTGAATAACAAACTTGCAAGTCATAAGTGTATATCATATAGTAAAATAAAGACGAACTGAAATAAGATCACAGTATCTTTATACATTTCCTAGAAATTAATATATGAACTCTATTATGTGTTCCTTTAGACAATTCCAGGATTTTTAATTTTTTCAGTTTGGAAGGCAATTTAATAATGAACTATAGTTCTGTACACTTTGGCGTGTCATAACCACTGTATAACTCCAAATGACAGAATTGGCAGATTAAGAAATACAGGCAACTGACAACCAGATTTTGGAGCATTCTTCAAAAAGTCAGGAACATACCATCTATGTCCCTGAGTAATAACTCACTGATTAAGAATTATGAACCACACTTTTGGTTCAATTCTGTTCTCATATATTTGAAGAAATATATTTAAAATGCATGAAAACTCTAAGACTCTCAGAACTCCTCATTTACCAAATATCTTAAATTCAGAGGTTAGAAGAAAGAACTGAAACCAATCATTAAATATTTCCATTATTCTGAAGATGTGAATTATAATCGTTGTGTCTTTAACATTTACTTTAGTGTGCTTTTGTCATAGAGTGATTTGAAATACCATCATTTAAAAATTCAATAACTACGATTCTTT